GACCTGATTATCAGGTTTTAACATTTATAAAGAGGAATTATCAATTGTATCTAATTAATTTTGAATAATATCATATTCAATGTGACATTAAACTGTCCTAATTATACAGAAAATTCTAGAACTGACCTACTTTAGATTAAAGCCACTCAAATCAAACTCACTTAAAAAGGGCACATAAAATGGCCATGAAAAATTTTATGTACTAACAGCCAGTGGTTACTATATACACTTTGCGGCAAATTCACACTAATCTGATTAAAATTAATTGAGCCATCTTCACTAAAAGTCGGAAATATAGACCTCTCGTAAAAACAACTTATCGAAAACACTCTTACCCCCCCCCCCCCAAAAAAAAAACCCCTACAAACCCGCCAATGACGTCACAGTGGCCGAATGTATATTAGAAATGTTAATTCTTTAATAGCTGACGAAACGGCACTTTCCTGGCAAAGGTAACTCTATTCTCTTATATTACCGTATCGGTTAGGTTAGGACTCTTTTGTGAATGAAGAAATAACTGTTTATTTAAAAAAGACAATTTATGTTTTAGGAATGTTCTGTGGGTATATCCTGTTTCTGAACCAATATAATATATATATATGAAGCACGTAATATTGCTGCTGTGAAACAATTTGTTACATTTAAAGTTCGTTTGTTTGTGTCGATTCGCTGAATCCACGCTTTTAACAGATGTGTCACGTTCAGTTGTAAAGAAACAAGATGGTCGACGCCCGGTTTGTGGTTTGTGGTTGTAGACCATTATCTTGGCCCTCCCTCATGTACTACAGGAAACCACGACGGAAAATCCCCAGGAACTTTCTCGGGCAACACCGGGTTCGAACCCGGAACGCCTGATTAGTGGGCCACCGTGGCTCCAGGCCACAAATGCGTGCACGTAAAAGAACCCTTGGCAGTTGGAATCCGGTATTAAAGTAGGGCGTGGCACTGCTTTCCTGACTAAATTCCCCTCTTGGCACACTGCATGCATGGTGTATGCCCGTCTTCATTATCCCAGTCGGTGCCGAAAAGTAGGAAGTTAAACCTCATTTCTTTTCATTTCACTTGCCGACACACACGTTAAGCTCTTTCCCGTCTCACTCCCTGTCAAGACAAGTAAGGCATTGTTTCGTCAAGTCTGCGATTATAACTTAATATCTGGGTGTTTAACACAAGAACGGGATCATGGTATGTCTGGACGATTTCTTAATGAAAGTGAAAGTACTGGAAGACCTCTACTTAACTTTATTAACACGTCATATAAGTGTCATATAAAACATCCATGACGTCATATTATGCAAGTGGGTGTAATGTGGTCCATGAACCGTGGTGACGACATGACGTTCAGTGAACCGTGTTAATAATTGATCCAATTTAAACCTATTAACTCAAGTGGCAAATCAAATAGATTTAGATTTACGATTTGATAAGTCAAGAGATAGGAGAAAATAATTAATCAATTAATCTATGGGAAAATCATATCTGTCAACAATAATTGAAATCTAGACCAGTATATTCATTATTGTGAAATATGTAGACCATCATGAGCATTGTGTACAATTATGTTTTTTTTAATTTTTATATATATATATATATATATATATATATATATATATATATATATATATATATATATATATATATATATATTGTATTTGAACAGTAATATCAAATCACTAATTTTGATGACATTATAGTGGATATTTAAGAAATTCCCTTTTTGTATTATAGCTTAATTTCTCACCCTCCACTTATTTACTTTCTTATATCGTACATACTGTAGATTATGGAAATATCGTAATTATATACTGATGAGTTTTATACTCAAAGTAGCAAAAGAACTTAAACTTGAATTTATTTATCATAATAAAATAATTAAGTTCGTATATTTATACAATCATATGTATATCTATATTTTTTATTCATCAAATCAATGATTTGGTCATTATTTAAACACATAATACATGTATAGATTTTGATATGCAGGCCATCATGAGAATTGTGTACAATTCTTTATCATTTATAAAATAATTAAGTTCATATTTTTATACAATCATATGATGTGCATTACGTTTATCTATATTTTTTATTCCTCAATCAATAATTTTGTTCTCATTATTTACGCATACAATACATGTATATAGATTGTATCTAGGCAGATATTTTACCGTTAAAATATAAAATAATTGTTATAATACCCCATGCATAATAAACAGTTTATGTAGATCACGTGCAACCAAATAAATTGAATTAAACATCTGCGGATAATGTCGCGGGTGGTTTACAGGATAAATCCATATCTAACTGAATGAAATAAAATGAGTTTAAGGACTTACTTTTCTGCACAAACAGGGTTTAAAAAAAAGGTGCTATTGGGGTCTGGAGAGCTGCGTTTCCGTCTATTCTTCATCGAATTCGCTCCCGGTGTTGGCCGAGAATGTGCATGACAAGGGGTCTGACAAGGAAAGCTGTCTAGTCGTTCGGATGGGACGAAAAACCGAGGTCCCGTGCACATAAATGATCCCTTGGCAGTTGGAATTCGATATAAGAGTAGGCATAAATTTCCGTCATAGCACACTGTATGGCGTATGTCCGTCTTCATTAGCCCAGTCGGAGTAAAACAGTAGGATGTAAGTCCCTATTTCATGTCATTGCATCGAATTCCAAACGCCAGGGGCTCTACTGGTGGATCTGAGATTGTCGCTCCACCCGTAGAACTAGACACCTTTCCTTGCCAGACCCCTCGTCCTGCACATGGGGATAGAGCAAGTAGAACGTTATACCCCGTTTCGTTTCATTTCATTTTAAAGAATCTTACGCATTACACCCCCTGGTGTTAATCGGAGTCTTGCGTAAAAGCTGTATTTTATATTATACATTAATTATCTTCTTGTCACGTACAAACTAGGATTGGAAACCACATCAGCTAAGTCAGTGACAGACCTTATGGTCTAAACCATTCAGCCCCCCCCCCCTTAAAGAGGTGTAATGAACGGTAGAAGTATACAGCGTTGCTTTAAAATATTTTGATTTGTTGATATTAAAACATTAGAGAGTTATACACTGATTATATATACTGCGGTAAAATATATGGGTGTTTTATATTATAAATATTTATACATCTACACTAAAAGCTTTGGATCCAATGGCGGACGCAGGATATTTTCAATAATCGCAGTGTCATCGATGATTTGCTGCGTATTTCTCAACCCGAATAAAACATTCAGTTGCATCAGCTACATTTACACCACCCAACCAACAAAAAGCTAAAATTCATACGTTTCATATCAAAATAATAAATGAATATTTTATTACTGTTATTTCGGATTGGGGCTCGCACATAGAATCCCTACCTGGACCCGTCACTTAACACTGTGAAGTGCAGCACGGACGACCTGGCAAGGAAAAGGTTTAGTCTTTCGGATGGGACACAAAACCCATGTACTCGCTGGTGTGTACGTACAAGAACCCCTGACTGTAAGAAATGAAATGAAATGAAATGGGGTTTAACGTCCTACTGTTCTGCTCCTAAACTGGGCTAATGAAGACGGCCATACAGTGTGCTATGAGGAAAATTTCGCCCGGGCAGCGGCACTACGGCCTACTCTTATATCGAATTCCAACTGCCAAGGGATATTTTACGTGCACGCCAATGTGTACCCGGGACCCATCTGAACGACTAGACAGCTGTCCTTGTCAGGCCCTCCGTCCTGCATCACTGACAATTCACTAAACATAGGTTAACAGAAACGTTGAAACAATAAAAGTTCCAGGCCAGTCACAAAGACAAAATGGCTTCTATAGTTTTCTAAATTAGTCCCCGCTCCTAAAATATTCATAATGCACATTAATTGATAAAACACGCTAATAATTATTTTACTATTAGACTCAATAAACACTAGCCAACCATTCAACCTCCAGGCAATACCCATTCTCACAAATTATTTATTATTGATTTTAATTTAGCTACGCTACAACCCGGGTCAATAACAATCGAGAGATAGAGAAAAAAGATTTGAAATTCTAAGAAAAACAGATAAAAGAAATCGTAAAACACCCCCCTTCGAAAAGTAGTAAATCTAATAAACAGTTGGTTTTGTTTTTTTTTGTTTTTGCTTTGCGAAGGCTCTGGATAAATTTCATAATTTTGTAAGCTTACATAATAATTATTATGTCTCGTGCCTTTTCCCGCGCAAACTTCTAACACGCCATTATCATGAAATCGATAACAAGCAATTTCAGTAATGCGGGCTGTTTTTTTTTTGTTTTTTTGAATGATGAATTTACTTTATTTCTAAAAAAAACCCAACAATTTTTTTTAAAGAAAAAAATCTTTAATGCCGGTTACTTGTGAAATATTTTTAAAATGGAAATTAAGAGGTATTTCCGTAAAGACTAATTGTGAAATAAATTTTGAAGTATTGAATTTTGGTTTCTAGTCGAGTTGTAAATAAAAACTGATCTATTGAACACAAATTATATCTTATTCACAAACTAACAAATCAACTTGAATTCCTATTGAGCAGAGATCGATAGAATTTCATCAAAATATTTCTGGCTAATTCCACTTCTAAATGGGCAGTAAACTGTAATAAAAAGTCCAATTTCCGCACTGCAAGCTTTTCAATGTTTGCCCAATAGTCCGATTATCTGACACTAAAATTAACTACAGATTGCCGATATTGAGAAAATTAAAATGACGCACAACATTTTCAGGATTCATCTCAAATTGTCATCTTTTCTGATTATACAAAGAACTGATGCTCACGCGCTCATCTCGAGCTTAATAATACCGTGTCTTTTACCCAAATCCTTCCGCCAGCGCGTATCCAATCTAAAAACAGAAATAGGTTACCAAAATTACATAAAGTATCAAACTAAAAGTTCAGAGGTCGCAAAATAAGTAATTTAACCCTAATATATCATTGTTCGTGGCATTCAACTAAAATGATCGGTGACATGATGAACTATTTTTCTCAGCGTAGTGATACAGGGCACCTGTTCACTGAATGATCAATTTGAACGAGTTGAAAGCGAAGCTGAAGAGAAGAAGAAATTGTCGTATGCTTCAAGTTTTACAAACCTAATTTACTGTAACTGGCTGTGTTTTTACACTGTTTTGGATTAGTCAACATGGACGAGAGATTAAACTATTTAATTCTAGCTGTATCTTTACTGGGATTCGTCTGTAAGTATAAAATTATTCATCGAAGTCAGTGCGTCGATCGTTCAATTTGTTCGAATAACATTTCCTATCGTTGTTAGCCAACGTGATTTCATTCGTTCATTATGCAGACGATTTTATGTTTTTAGGGCTCGTGCAATTTCGCGAATGTGTCTATGAAATTTGAATGTAGGACTGTCTCTAGATTATGTAGAATTGTTAGCGATGACATTATAAACGGTGAACAGTAAGTGGGGGTAATACACAGCGTCTCATTATGTTTATTAGCGAGCAGAAGCTGAACGAACAGCGCCATTACACACAGTCATACAGCATTACACTAGTGTTACTTGCTACACGGCGTTTATTATTTCCTATTATTATAAATTCTGACTCATTCCAACTCCCACAGACAGGCCCCTAACTAACAAACCCCTTTTGTTTCCTAAAAGTGACATCGACACTAGTGACTAGACCTGGAACATGGTTAAAAACGTGTTGCATTATATATTGTACTGTAGACGTAATTATTATGGGCATAATTATTCCTGATAAATTTTGCATACGGTAATGCCTGGTACAGTTTTTACGAAGTTAAATTAATGAATGATTTAATGAAAACATGTACATGTTAGAGACAAAAATTATGAGTAATAAACAGAATTTTACTGAATATTGGTTTATTTTGTTGAAATAAAAAAATGAAATGAAATGGGGGTTTTAACGTCCTACTCAAGCAACTGTTCTGCCTCGAACTGGGCTAATGAAGACGGGCATATGCCATACACAGAGTGCTATGATGAGAGACATTTTGCCCGGACAGTGGCACTACACGAATTCCAACTGTCAAGGGATAGGATAAAACATGGGCCCCAAAGCCAGTGGTTATCAATTTGGTTAAATCCTAGTTCTGTATCTTTGCCTAATACTTGTAATATACATGTAGGCCTACAGTATATTTTTTTTATTCGCCGGTAATGCACAAAACATGGCCCCAAAACCAGTCTATCCCCCAGTTGACTCATCTAGGTTGAACACTCTGTAAAGATCCATGTCAGTCATCAGTATCCTAATAAAATATACATGTATGTATATACATGTAATACATGTACCATCACGCAATTCAAATGGCCTACAAATTAATTTGATGTGCACAGTTGACATCTTCATCCAATGTTTGAAATGAATAAATGACAGGAGAACTAAACAAACAAAAAAAACATCACAGATATGAGACCACACTCTTGAAAAGGCTGTCAATTTCATGTGATAATTTTGTATATTACTCCATTACTATAATGCTATTGCTATTCTATTGAGGACTCTTGCAGAATTACATCCCATACTTTTTTAGGACAAAGTTGTTTGCTAATTAAATTAAAACCATGCAAGCTCACGAGATTAGGAGAGTGATAAAGAAAGGTCATTGAGAGAAAGCTCTCCCGAATTTGATTTTAGCAATTCTCACAGACTTGTTTCAAGCACTTTACTAACCTAAACATAAACCAATATCACCCCATCTACTGAACTCTGATATTTAAATCAGAAAATACAAAAAAACACTATGAAATGGATGAAACGATGGATGCAGCTGTTATGAAATAAGAAGTGTGAAAATATGAAATCAAATACTGTTATGAAATAAGAAGTGTGAAAATATGAAATCAAATACATTGTACGTATATGAAGTGAAAGCAAATCATCTGCCTCAGGTAGAAAAATAAAATAAAACAAATTGTAGCCCAAAAATATTGAAATCAAGTGGAGCAAAGTCTCACAAATTGTTTCACAGTGGTCATGCGGAAGCCTTCTTTTACACTTCATCAGGATTTTCTGGTGTGGTTTCCCCTTGTCAGTGGTGCAGGGCGGAGGGTCTGACAAGGACAGTGGTCTTTAGAAGTCTTTTGGATGGTGTGAAAAACTGGAGGTCTCATGTACACAATGATATGCACGTAAAAGATCCCTTGGCAGTTGGAATTCGATATGAGAGTAGGCCGTAGCGTCGCTGTCAGGGCAAAATTTCCCTCATGGCACGATGGATGGTGTATGCCCGTCTTCATTAGCCCAGTCGGAGCAGAACAGTAGAACGTTAAACCCCATTTAATTTTCTTTCTTTTAACACTGTGCAATACAGCATTGATAACCGGTGTATTGTTTACATCTGGCGTAGTAATACAATTTGATTTGAACAGTATCTGCACATTTTACACATCCAGTCCATCCATATATAAATAGACTTTTTTTTCCTCCATAATTTAAAAAAATTGATATAATTTGCAGAAAAAAAAATAAAGGTTACATGTATATCGAGAGCTGATTAACTCACCCCGATGTCACACCCCTGTCAAGTGATATTGGCGATCGAGCTACATGTATTATTTACTGGTGATCAGATTGGGTCTAACAATGGCATAGTTTTAAGTACACGTACATGTAGTTTTAACACTTCCCATGACATGTCTGTCAGTTCATGTAAGCTACATGTATTAATATATAAGATTCCTTGCTTTTGTTCTGTAGACTAGACATCATGTAAGTTCACATACATGTACTGTATATGTACTGATGTGAAGGGAATACACAATGTACCAACCAATTTGTGGCCTTTTACCAAAATTCTGTCATACAGGTAATTAGGGTAAATAATGGAATTTGTAGATAGGTAATGGTTGCCAAAAAAAATGGGTTGGATGAGAGAAGAGAACCATGTTTTTTTGTTGCGGTGTAGTGAGATGTTCTTATCTCATGTACAGTAAACTATATAACATATGCTAGCCGTAACCCAACAGGTACCTGTATTGACACTGCTCATGTAGAAACTCTTGTTACATCATGTATCATATACCTGTAATTTGGAGCTTGGACTTGACACATAAGCTTCATTAAAGTTGCTTCTGATCACTATCATTTTCCACCGCTTACCTGTAATTCTCACTAAAATTGATTATTTAAACATTTAATTTAATTCAACATGTACATGTATACACCATGTAAGCATCATTACAGCGGCTGATTATCATAATTTTTCACATCTTAATTTCCACTAAAATGGATTATACATGTAGATAAGCATTTAATTTTTAAAAAAACAAAACCAAAAATTAAATGGTAGATGCATTTACATGTACATTGTATTTTTCTGGTACTGAACGGAATTGATCCATTTTAGACTGACATTCCATTTAGAGAAAAAATGTACATAATATCGTAGTTGTCAGTGGATTCATACTCCTTCAAATGAAATTCTTCAGTCTTAAGCTTACATGATTCCATTTTAAAAATAAAACAACTTTACGTTGTCCAATGTACATGTAGATACATTGTAAATGATTGTTGTGTGAGGTGAAACCATTTTAGTTTAATTTGTTCTCTCTGTTTTTTGTTTTCGATCTTGGATTTTAATATTATCTATTCTTTTTTTGGATCAGATTGTTATACATGTACATGTAGCAGTTAATAAAACAAAAATTGTGTGAAATTCAAACACTGTAAAACTATCAGACCGCATTTCAAATACATTGCTTATATTTCCAGGGTTTTAAACCCACAAAAAAACACAAATCATGTTAAGAATTTAAATAACAAATTTAGATGAGAAAATTAAATATTTTGAAACCTGCGACACCAGTGTACTCGTAAGCTTACATAAGCGGTTAATGTGTGCGTTTTTTTTTTTATATTAAAAAAACATTGATGCACAGTATTTAGTTGTTGAGACAGTGATGATGTCATTGTATGATGTAATAATAACAATAGTATGATTGATGGATGATGATTTATCAGAGTTATTGTTATTATCTTAATCAATATTATTATTACTCAATCTTCCTGTCGTCTACATGTATGACACACCTCATAGTAACAGTCTATGATCCTTTAGTGGCTTTAAACGATTGGAAATGAAATGAAATGAAATGGGGTTTAACGTCCTACTGTTCTGCTCCTAACCTAGGCTAATGAAGACGGGCATACGCCACACAGTGTGCTATGAGGGAAATTTTGCGCGGGCAGCGGCACTACGGCCTACTCTTATATCGAATTCCAACTGCCAAGGGATCTTTTACGTGCATTCCAATGTATACAAGGGACTTTGTTTTTCCATCTCATCCGAAGGACTAGACAGCTGTCCTTGTCAGCCCCTCCGTCCTGCATCACTGACAAGGGGGAACCACGCCGGAAAATCTGTATGCACTTTCTCGGCCAATGCAGGGATCGAACACCCGACCTCCAGACTAGCGAGCCAGCGTCTTGGCCACGTGATCCCCTGTAATGATTGGAAACATTACAGAACTAACACAGTTATATGGGATTACAATCACTGGTTTATTATATTAACGAGAAGAGGATACTTATCGAAACGTCGTGCTTGTGTATAGTAAACCAGTGATTTTTGTCCCATGTACATGTAGTAACAGTCGCTTCTCTAACAAGTTTAAATTCTTTGTTGGGACATACAAAAGCGAAAAGTTTATTTTAAAATTTAATTGCCCAACAATTCTCCTTATGTTTTGGTGAAATTGGCTTTCACCTTTCTTATTAGAAATCTGTTGAAATAAGAAACTAAAAATTATTTTATGGTAAAAGTGAGATCAAAATGAATATAATGATAGTGTACCGGTACTGCTACTGTTTATGTTGAAACAATTGTCTAATTTCTTGCCAGATGTGTCCCGTGTCACTAGGGATGCAAAGATACGCTAACCTCATGATGCGATACGTATGACGGTATGGACCCCACAAAATTATACATATCATGGTACTTTTTCTTTCCAAATTGTATACTAAAGAATAAAAACAAGTACATGGTACATGTATGTAATGGCAACACATCACATTATTAACCACGTTTTTCTATCTGGCGTTTTTAATTCAAAATGTTCCATACTGTGGATCAATCTTGCCTCCTTGTCACATGAACTACAGGGGGATATACATTGTAACTCTGTATGATAGTGGAGTTTTGGAAGAAAATCGACGGTTTAAAAATTCTGTATCATATTTACTGAACTGAGGTACGAAACTTA